ATATATAATTAATTATTATCTATCAAAGGAGTCCAATATTGATATAGTAATTTAGCTCGAATTAATAACTAATATTATTAACTAAGTAGTTTTCTTAATTGGCTATAACTCAAGTTTAACGAATCCAAATTGAATTTTTCTTGAGTCCATAATTCGTCATTTATTACGAGCTTCAAAATAAGCCCAATATTGATAGGGTAATTCTAACTTCTTCAATAATTAACTATTTGGCCTATTTAATAAAGGTATAAAATCTGAAACTTATTTTCACTTTGGTCCCTCAACTATAAAGATATTCACATAGATCCAAATTAACTATAGAGATAACCAATTAACTTGTATAAGGACTTAACTGAACATTGCATTCCTATTAAATAAATTAATGCTAAGTAAAAATTCGGGATTTTACACCCTACCCTCCTTATCTCTCGTTGTTAATGAAATCTCGGTCTTCTCTTTTTTTGTTTTTGGGTGCATAACGAAATCTTTGGTGTCTTGTATGATTGTGAAAGCATTTGATCTATAGAGCCTCTGAAAATTCAATTATTATTATTATTATTATTACAACTCTTCAGAAAACTTGTTTCAAAGGTACTGGGTTTGTATTTCTGCACTTCCACTAACAGGTTGGATTCACTTGAAACATCGCACTTCTTTCAGCTTAAACACCTGAATGATTAAAAAATTATGCTCAAGACTACTACATGGAAATAAAAATATGATGGATATCAATGGTAAAAAGGAATTTGGGTAATTGAATAACTTATAAATTGTAATATACAACTCAGGAAGCCCCAAGGACAAAAAAATCTCTATGAAATCATCTTTCCACACACATAAAAGTTATTACGCTGTTGTTGTGTATGATCTAAAGAAATATACTTAATAAAACTACAAAATTGACACAAGCTTGAAAAATTTTGGCTCTTCATCCATTAGCCAAATCCCAAATCAGGTACAAGTTCCACACGAGGGGAAACGACTTTTAGTTCCAAGGCCTAGCAAATCAAATTGCAAAGAACACCCAATCGTATGTACCATCTTTAATGATGATGTTTCTCCTGGACGAGTTCTTGTAAAACAAAATGACCCCCTCATCTTCCACACGAATGCACATTGCCTGTGGAAAACCTTCAAGAACCCACAATCAGGATCCTGGATCCTTTAAGTCGTGATGCAAGAACAGATAAAACATTTACGTCCCTTTCAATTGGGAAGGATTAGCTCATAATTATATAAAGGAATACAGATTTAACTAATCACTCATATACGAGTGCACGCAACCCAAAACAATGATAATCAATCATGAGCTAGAGAGAAAGACTGGACAATGTAATTGACAATGTCATTACTTATTTTTCTTCATTAAGAGAATCTAGTACTATCCAATTCACCTTATCAAACGTGCAATTAGAAAATGACTTTCTTACTCTTTGCCCTATATTTTCTAGATTAGTTCATCTTGCAACATGTGAGCAGTCACTACCACTGTTAAAACCCTCCTGCAGGTGCTTGCAAGTTTAAAATCCTGATCTCATTTGAACTTGATTACATCTATGCCAAGGGTTTTTGAGCTTGAACCAGCTAGAATTTCTATTGCACTTGGTTTGAATAAATGAGGGGGAAAAAAAACACCTGCCCAACTGTAATAGAAAATGTGGCTTCAAAATTGTACCAAGAAGCCAAAAATTTTAGATAGGGAGCTGTAAACAGACGGCTGCACTAATTCTGATAGGTACGGAGCATACCCAAATATAATCATGGGACCAAGTTTCTGGATGTCAGTTTATCTCCATGCAGTNGCGTTCTGTTAATAATTCAAAGACGAGATACTGCAATCAATCTCTAGAGAATGCTAAAATGCATCCAACGTGATGTTGTATAAACAATGAATATTAGGGTTTATTTGAGCCGCATTTTTTGGGAACATAGATTTTGTAATTGTGATTTTTTGGAGAATGTATGGTTCAGAAGTATAAAAAAAATTAGGTTTACGTGTAAAATTATTTTATTGGGAGAATGTCATTGAAAATAAGGCTGGGAAAAATGAGTTTTTAAAGAATGGGCCAAAATAGAGGCTTAAAGAAATCCATCAACTTATCCTGTTAGTTTATGCCCCCGTTTGACCCCCATTCTCCTTCTCATTCTTATTTTCAACCACACAATCTTCCATAAAATATTATTACACGCAAATAAAAAACTTTTCATTCTTTTTCAACCATATATTTTTCAAAAAAACACTATTCCAACCATTAAAATTTGAAAAAAAATAGTGGCCAAACGGGGACTATATCCTTTTTTGAGGCACAAGAACAAAATGCCCCCTTGATCTCACCCTCTCAAAGTCGGGGAGAAGAACAGATGATAAGATTTTGACATTTTCGCGTAAGTTTGTATTGTCAAGATGCATAGAGAATGTCAAAACAAAAATAGAAAACAAAAGCCTTCTCAGCAAGTCAAAAGAAGCAACAATCTCTTCTAGGTTGGTCTCAGCAAAAAGAAACGAGAATACAAACACTAAGCTGCTAAACTTAAGAGAGAATAATCATGAAGATTCACCAGAAATTAGGAAGCACAAATAGTAATACAGCCACGGAATATAGTGCATGCTTAAATCATCTGCTATTTTGCATAAAAGCTTAAACTTTTTTATACAACAGCAGTTTCGATGGTTCCATGATTCCTAGATCAAAGACCTTTCTTAAATCATCCAATCTCATATCAACAATCTTTTGTCTATGAGTCAACTTAAGTAAAAAGTGCGAGAACATTGAAAAGTACAGTCAGTATTTGAAAGTAAATAAATTATTATGTGAGAGGAACCTGAAGCTTGTCCAAAAAAGTTGCTCATATAGTTATTTAGGAAATATTACCATGGAAAATGCAAACAAACAAGAAAATAAATAAAGTGCAAATGCAAGTTGCTCATATAGTTATTTAGGAAATATTACCATGGAAAATGCAAACAAACAAGAAAATAAATAAAGTGCAAATGCAGAAAGACACTACTTACTTTTGAAAAAATGGAGTAAAATATCTGAAACATTTATAACTTAATTTACCATCGAAAATGAAAACATTACCTCGGAATTTGTTATCTTGAGTAATAATTCCAAATGTTTCTTTAGTTTCATGTACCAAGATGCCAGACATTCCACTGTAGGAAACTATTTTACACTGTACAACTACAAGAATACACCACTAATCAACATGATTATTTTAATAGCAGAAAAACACATAATGTCCTTTTTGATTTAGTAAAACCGGGGATTTGGGTAATTAAAACAGCGTAAATGTTAATATAAAACACGTTAACTGACAATCTCCAAGAACTTGATGCCATACTACATTTTTTAAAAGTGATTAAGAGGATGTAAAACTACAAAAGTCTTACATTGGGATGAGAAAGCAAGGATGTGATTTTGTATAGGATGAGGGTTAATAATCCAAATAGTCATTGAACTTCGTAAAAAGTTTTCACTGGCTCGCTGGACTTTAAAAATCACTCAAGTCATCACTAAACTTTGCAAAAGGTTTATACAGGATCACTGAACTTCAAAAATCACTCCATTTATCACTAAACTTGTCAAAAAATTTCCACGGGGACTCGATGACCCCTGCGAAAGTTTTTGCAAAGTTCAATGATGAATGAGATAATTTTTAAAATTCAGTGATCCTGTGGAAACCTTTTACAAAATTCAATTATGACTTGGGTGATTTTTAAAGTTTAATGACCCGGTGAAAACTTTTTGCAAAGTTTAGTGACCATTTGAATTATTAACTCTATAAGATGATGACGAGCAAGATTTTTGTGGAACTTCCTTCCGTGAAACCATTAGTTTGTTCTTGATAGGTTCGAGTGGCTAGCAGTATTCCAATGTAACGTCCCGAATTTTTACTACTAGTTGTTAGATTTAAATTTAAGATTTAAATGCGCTATTATTAAAGTCTAATTACCTTATTGGTTATTGGCCAATAGTTTGAGGACCTAAGTAGAGAGTTATTTCGGAAGTTGGATGAAATCATGCATAAAACATTTATAAATATGCCAATCGATCTTCATTAAAGATGATTTATTGACCACGTGCATTATTCACAGCACAGTTGAAGCCAATGTAATTGATTTAACTACATGATTTATTTACACCAACCAAGTTCTAAGCCAAGTCAATTGATTTGACCACGTAAATAAAGGTAATTGATTTGACCATTTTCATGACAATACACCATTTATGCATTGACCATGCCTAACATCTAGCCATTTTCTCTCACTTTTCTACACACAGTCCAAGAATTTACACTGTAAATCGGAGACGACCCAAGCACTAGATTACCCCTCACCAACTATTTACACAATCCCCCTTTCTAACTCTATCACTTTGTCTCTCAGCCTTTATTCTTTCTCGTTCTTTTTATATTAAATATAATCGTACACTTGCACAATCACAAGTGAATACTCAACCCCACACGCGGCTTAAGGACCTCTCTCCAACAATCACCCCTTCTATCATTTTAAATTATCTAGTGAAAGATAAGTTATGTTTTATGTTTATGGTGGTTAATATTTATGTATGAAATATTTCTACGCTATATTTTATGTTTTGATCCATACTACATATGTTCTATTTAGAATGGACTGAGTTTAGTAGTGCCATACACGAGAATTTAGCATCATATAAGTTCGGTCTAAATTTAGTCTCGCTATATAAGTTATGAGTTTTTTTGTAGACATACATGT